CCATGATCTTAGTTTTTTGAATGTTGAATTTTAAGCCAGTTTTTTCACTTTACTCTATCACCTTCATCAAGAGGCTCTTTAGTTCCTCTTGGATTCCTGACATTATGGGTGGTGTCATCTGCATATCTGAGGTTGTTGATATTTCTCCTGGCAATCTTGATTCCAGCTTGAGCTTCATTCAGCCTGGCATTTCAAATGATGTACTCTGCATAGAAGTTAAATAGGCAGGGTGACAATACACACTCTTGACATACTCCTCTCCCAATTTTGAACAACCAGTTTGTTGTTCCATGTCTGCTTCTAACTGCTGCTTCTTGAGCTGCATATGGGTTTCTCAGGAGGCAGGTAAGGTGGTTTGATATTCCCACCTTTTAAAGAATTTTCCACAGTTTATTGTGATCCACACAGTCAAAGGCTTTAACATAGCCAATGAAGAAGAAGTAGATATTTTTCTGGAATTCCCTTCCTTTTTCTATAATCCCATGGATGTTGGCAGTTTGATCTCTGGTTACTCTGCCTTTTCTAAATCCAGCTTGAACATGGAAGTTCTGGTTTATGTACTGTTGAAGCCTGGCTTGGAGAATTTTGAGCATTACTTTGCTAGTGTGTGAAATGAGTGCAATCGTGCAGTAGTTTGAACATTCTTTAGCATTACCTTTCTTTGGAATTGGCATGAAAACTGACCTTTTCCAGTCCTGTGGCCACTGCTGAGTTTTCCAAATTTGCTGGCATATTGAGTGCACTAGTAATTATCACTGTTCTGAGAGGGTAAAATCAAGCACAGATACCTAAAATATGGTAAAGTCACAATTTGAACCTAAGTCTATCTGATGCTAAAGCCTGTGTTTATAACTAAATACAGTGCCACATATTTCTTATAGTTGTTCCACCAGGACTTGGTCTTCTCATTATGAAGAAAAAAGAGTCTAACAATAGTACTGAAAGTCTGCCTCCTGTGTTTCATAACCAGTTACACTGATATCATTTCAGTGCACTTCTTTTCAGCACTTTTCCTTAAGGATATACATTTTTACAAAATTGCAGTCATGGTATACATACCATTTAATATCTTTTTTTCCTCTTAACCTTTTATCTTTCATGTTGTTCATTATAATATAATGTGTCTTTTATGTTCTTACTATTGTATGTTTAGATTCTAGGATTTGGGGGTGATTTTGATTTTTTGTAATTGTATAATAAATACCATGTGCATAGGGCACTATCTTTCTCTTACTTTCTACATTTAAATGACATTTCCCAATCAAAATGTATGAACATATTTTGGGCAATAGATGTATATAATTAGGCTTAAAATTTCCCTGAGCCACCAGGGAAACCCAATATTATAGTCATGTTTCAGAATATGTAGGGGAAACACATTAATCCATTCTTCTGTGTTACACTAACGTATGTTACTTTGCATTTTGATGCATTTCCTTTAAGCATCTTAAATGCTTTTCTGTATTTTCCTAATTACCTACAGGGGAAATTTTATCACTATTGTAATAATTAAAAATACCCTCCAAAAATACAAAACAAAGCACTTAAAAAATCATACAGACTAAGAGGAAAATAACTGCAAAGAGGTTGCAAAATATGCCACTCCAAACTGTGTCACTGTGGCAGAAGGATTATAAACCAAAAGCGCTAAAAAACAGCAAATATGTAAGAAGAGTGGTCTGGCCTTCCTTTCTAACACAGGGAAAAGAAATATTCCAGAGAAGAGGGATAATGCCCAGAGATTTCTGCACAAACAGGTCTTGTTAAAATCATTATCCTTTTTAGCCTCCCCATGTATGCTACTTGCTTCTCCACGATTGTCTCTTTTGTTCAACTTAATATAAAAACATTTAGGGTTCCACTTCTTTGGGTCTTCATTTCCTTATGAGGGCTCTTGTGTCAGATAAACGTAAGTTAAATAAATTAGTATGGTTTTGTCCTGTTAAACTGTGTATTCCAATGTAATTTTCAGGCTGAGCCAGAGACTCTAATAGAATAGAGGTTAAGTTTTGCCTCCCGCGCACTACTAAACCCTTGACACTATAGTTGCTGCAGAGTTGTTTTGCCCAGAGTGCCTAGCCAGCAAGGGTAGAAAGGAAAACACAGGCGTCGTCAATTTTCGCTAAGGAGAACAGAGGAGCACTAGCTTTGTTACTCAGTCCAGGCCAGATGCTGCTTGCCTTTGCGCCGAGAACTGCGGAGACTTCAATCTTGTAGAAGTCGGATTTGTGACCCCAACCACTCGGACGCCTGTCCAGGAGAGCAATGGCCTGGGTGGAGTGGCGGGGGTGGAGGTCGCATTTGACGCGCATTCTGTTCAGCTCTCACAGGAACCCTGTGAGGCAGGCATGCAGTATTATTCCCACTTTACACTTTGGGAAACGGAGATTGAGAGAGACTTGCGGGTATCACGTAGTTACAGAGTGGAGCGGCGATTCAGACTCTGAAACCGATCGTGAGACCCTTCCTGTGAGGGCCGCGCCCCCGCCGTGCCTGGCTCGGCCCTCCGCACGCTGCTCGGACTCCACCCCGTAACGAAGCTCCGCCTAACTTTGCGTGTGTCTGCGAAGACGAAGAACTGAAAATCTCAGCTACACTTGGTCTTTGGGGTCGGCTGCCAGACAAAGCTAGAACGAACTAGACGCTTGTCCAAAAGCAGTGACGTCGAATGACAAGGGACAAGAGGTGGGGATATGTAGATGAGGGGCGCGGTGGCTGCTGGATCGATTTCATTTTTCGCGGGGTAGAATTTCCCCTGTTGGTCCAAAGGATGTATCTTGGTCACTGTCATATGAATAATCCTTCAGTTTCCAATCGAAGGCCGAAAGAGCTTGGAATATAATTGACCATAATGCTGTTGTGTGCTGAGTTCGAGGGTGACGTCCCAGACAATCCTTACTACTCATACTTACCTGGCAGGGGAGATACTATGATCACGAAGGTGGTTTTCCCAGGGCGAGGCTTATCCATTGCACTCCGGATGTGCTGACCCCTGCGATTTCCCCAAATGTGGGAAACTCGACTGCATAATTTGTGGTAGTGGGGGACTGCGTTCGCGCTTTCCCCTGGTGTGATTTGTGCAAGTAAAGACATAGGTATCTACTTTATAGCTTTGGTGTCCTGTCCTGTTGATTTTTGCAGTTGTTTTGGGTTTCTGAGACTCAAGCAATTTTCATGCAATGTGGAAGATCTGACTTGAGTTACTCCACTCAGTACTCTGACCTGCTGAGTTCCATGGACTGTATTCCTACGGCCATGGGGTCGCAAAGAGTTGGATAAGACTGAGCGATTTTCACTTCATTTGGAAACAAGGCAGCAGCTGACTTCTAGTATCAAGTGAGGAATGTTATGTGGATAGACAATCAGACAATCTATGCGGCCAATCCATGCACTTTGAAAGAGTTGAATTCAACTTCCCGTGTGGCTCTGCTGGTAACGAATCTGCCTGCAATGCTGAAGAACTGGGTTCGATTCCTGGACTGGAAAGATCCCTGGAGAAGGGAAAAGGCTATCCACTCTTGTATTCTGACCTGGAGAATTCCATCGACTGTATAGCTAGCTCATGGGGTCACAGAGTCAAGCACAACTGAATGAGTTTTTAAAAAATGGTTTAAGAGTAAACTTTCACTACTCTAAGAATGAAATGGACTGTTTTCTTTCTTTTGTGGGAAAGACTGTAGGAGGTTATTTCTATGCTTTTTGGCCCTTTCTGTGTTTTCAAAACCAGTAATTTTTCATCTGCTGACATCAGCCTTCCATCCACTGCTTTCTTTTTTCTTCCAGGTGAGAAAGCTCCTTTTATTGGGTTGGAAGTGGTGCACCAAACTAGTCCCTGATAAAAATACTTAGATCTTCAAGATACAGAGATGATACTTAACTATAATGATCAAAATGATCACATGGATCACAGTCTTGTGTGAATCTATGAAGCTATGAGCCATTCCCTGGAGGGCCACACAAGGCCAGGTCGTGGAGAGTTATGACAAAACGTGGTCCACTGGGGAAGGGAATGGCAAACTCCTTCAGCCTTCTTGCCTTGAGAACCCCATGAACAGTATGAAAAGGCAAAAAGATATGACACTGAAAGATGAACTCCCCAGGTCGGTAGGTGCCCAATATGCTACTGGAGAAGAGTGGAGAAATAGCTCCAGAAGGAATGAAAAGACTCAGCCACGAAATTGAAAGACACACTCCTTGGAAGTAACGCTGTGACAAACCTATACAGCATATTTAAAAGCAGAGGCATCACTTTGCTGACAAAGTTCTGTACAGTCAAAGCTATGGGTTTTCCAATAGTCATGTATGGATATGAGAATTGGACGGTAAAGAAAGCTGAGCGCCGAAAAATTGATGATTTTGGACTGGAGAAGACTCTTGAGAGTCCCTTGGACAGCAAAGAGATCAAACCAGTGGATACTAAAGGAAATCAACTCTTGAGTATTCATTGGAAGGACTGGTGCTGAAGCTGAAGCTCCAGTCCTTTGGCCACCTGATGCAAAGAGCTGACTCATTAGAAAAGACCCTGATGCTGGGAAAGATTGAAGGTGGGAGAAGGGGACGAAAGAGGATGAGATGGTTGGATGACATCACCAACTCAATGGACCTGAGTTTGAGCAATTTCTGGGAGATAGTGAAGGACAGGGAAGCTTGGCATGCTGTAGTCCATGGAGTCAGTGCCTTAGCAACTGAACAATAAGATTCGGAAGCGCTGACTTCTCCCAGAGCAAGGAGCAAGGTCTGGGCAGAGTAAGTCCCCGCGGAACTTGTGACAAGGCGAAGTGTTTAAGACCCGGACCAGCAGATGGGAACCAAGATAAGAGCCCCCACCCATGAGGACCAGCTGCAGCAGGGCCCCGAATCTAGACCCTCGGAGGGAGGCTCCAGTTTTCCAGAGGAGGACTAGGGGGCAAGAGGAGGGGGAACTGAAGGAGGAGGCAGCGAATAACAATTTTTTGTTTGTTTAAAAAACAAACAAATACACCTACCAACATCACAGTAGCGGGTCTGACATCCCTTTAATCATAAGTTGGTAAGTTTACAGCATCAATAAAAACACAAGGAAAATAAACACATTGGCTTTATCATATTGGAAATGGTGTGAACGGTGGGGCGTGGGCAGGCCGGCGGGCAGGCGAGGAGCAGACAGCGCAGGAGGCGTCTGAGTGGGGCCGTGAGTCTCAAGGGTCCTCGTCCCAGTCGTCCCAGTCCTGGCTGTAGATCCGTGGGATCTTGCACGGGGACGCCCAGCTCTCGGCCTCGAGGTTCACTTGCTCCTGGTCTTTCTTCTTGGCGGCATTCTTTTTGTCCCGTTGCTGTTGTAGGTAGCGCAAAAGAATGTTTGTTTTTTCTGTCACAATTATCTGTTCAGACGGGTACTCCTGAGTGGGCAGGTAGACTGGCGGACGTCGGTTCGAGGCTTTGCACAGACAGTTGGCATGGAAGCTACTAAAATTGCTTTTGTTGTAGACAGGCAGCCCTTTCAAAAAGTCAGCCATCTAACGTTTCCTCGGTCTCTGTCACCGTCGTCGATGTTGTTGCCGCCGCCACCACAGCTGCGTTCTTAACTGCCGCCTGCCGCCTGCTTCCTCTTTATAAGGGCCGTTGATTACATTAGGCGCACCTGGATAATTCGGACTATCCCCGCCCCACCCAGTCTCAAAGCTAATCGCATCCCTACAATCTGTTCTGTCACAAAGGTGGGTCACATTCCCGGCCCCGGGGATTAGGCCCCGAGCGTCTCCAGGCTGTCCGTCAGCCTATCACGAGACCCGGGTACCGTCGGCGCTACGGAGTGACGTCACTAAGGTGCGCGGAGTATGTAAATGAGCTCGGCGTCGGCTGGCCCTGTTCAGAATGTACTATGAAGCGTTTGTATTGTTTTGCAAATGTTGCGGTACTCGCAGTGTGCTTGTCAGGTCCTTCTAGTTGGGAGAAGCCGTTGTTTCGTAAGTGAGGGTGTAGAGTCTGCGGTGCAGAGAGTGACCGTAAGTGCGAAGTGTTTGGAATGTGAGGCTGAGGTGGCAGGCAGGGCCAGCAACTCATACTTACCTGGCAGGGGAGATACCATGATCACGAAGGTGGTTTTCCCAGGGCGAGGCTTATCCATTGCACTCCGGATGTGCTGACCCCTGCGATTTCCCCAAATGTGGGAAACTCGACTGCATAATTTGTGGTAGTGGGGGACTGCGTTCGCGCTTTCCCCTGGTTTTTCTNGAAAAAACAGCTTCAGCTTTATTCTCTCTGAACTTTCACATCTGTGGCACACACACATTCACAAAAAAATCTTAATATAGCCTCTGATTTGTAACCATGGAAAATTGAATTATAGTTACTGAAGATGTATGTTGGCATTTGCAGCTTTATATTAGCAGAGAGTCATAGATGTGCAGGGCAAATATTCCAGCATCATATCTATAACACCAGGAAAGAAAACTTTTATACTCTGTCAACCAAATTAAAAAAAAAAAAAAAAAAAGAAAAAACTGTTGGTCTCTTTCATCGCTGTTAAAGACTTGAAAGAAATTTCTTAACTACTGTGGAAATAGAAAGTAATCTATTCAGTGGTCTCTTTCTCCGAGGGGAGGCTCATTTTATGACCTTTCCTTTCTTCACGAGTAGGTATAGCGGGAACCTCTTGAAAGCAACCTGTCCTTGCTCTGTGGTCCGTTTCTCCATTTTCTGGTGTCTCAGACGGTAGTGTCTGCCCGCAATACGGGCGACCCGCGTTTGATCCTTGGGTCGGGAAGATCCCCTGGAGAAGGAAATGTGCAACTCACTCCAGTACTCTTGCCTGGAAAATTCCATGGGCAGAGGAGCCTTGTAAACTACAATCCATGGGGTCGCAAAGAGTCGGACACGACTGAGCCGCCAGTTTTCAAAGCCACCAGTTTCGTGTCTTCGGTCAGTTGATAATGTAACTCCTCTCCATAAAAGTCTTTTATTATATTAGGCGCACCTGGGTAATTCGGACTATCCCCGCCCCACCCAGTCTCAAAGCTAATCGTATCCCTACAATCTGTTCTGTCACAAAGGTGGGTCACATTTCCGGCTCCGGGGATTAGGCCCCGAGCGTCTCCAGGCTGTCCGTCAGCCTATCGTGAGACCCGGGTACCGTCGGCGCTGCGGAGTGACGTCACTAAGGTGCGCGGAGTATGTAAATGAGCTCGGCGTCGGCTGGCCCTGTTCAGAATGACTATGAAGCGTTTGTATTATTTTGCAAATGTTGCGGTACTCGCAGTGTGCTTGTCAGGCCCTTCTAGTTGGGAGAAGCCGTTGTTTCGTAAGTGAGGGTGTAGAGTCTGCGGTGTTTTCCATTTGAGCCACCAGGGCAACTCGAAATGCGTCTAATTACTGGATTAACCGGCCAAATTTACAGTACTGAAGTGTTCGTTAAGCTAGAACTTTCAGGGGGAATTACAGATTAAATACTGGCAGGAGCTGGCTGGTAATGTGCTTTAGTAATGCTCAGAACCGTTTTAAACGCAATTACTCCACAGTGGTATTTTTTTAAAAAAGAGATGTCTGAGGGTGACTGGAAAAGAATTCTAAAAGGAAGTAAGCTGAAAAGTACTCAGAAAGTGGAAGTTAGTCTTTTCTTTGTTAACAGTCGACGCTTATTAGGAAACGTATGGAATAAACAGGTCTGGAGATTTGAATATTTTATGTCAAAATGTCATGAATTAGTGTAAATGCAATTAAATAAAAAAATTTTAAAGATCAGTGTTAAAATCACTTTACTTATTTTTGCCAACACTAGATCTTAGTTACTGCTAGAGGTTTTTCTCTAGTTGGGGAAATGGGGGCCACTTTGTTGCAGTTGGCGGGTTTCTCCTCTTAAGAGTGTGGGCTCAGCAGTTGTTGCCCAGGGACCTAGTTGCCCCAAGGCATGTGGGATCTTCCCAGACCAGGGATCCAACCCAGGTTCTGTGCATTGATAGGTGGATTCTCGACCACTGGACCATCAGGGACGTTCTAAAATGACTATTATTTAAAGAGTAAAAACAGGAATTAAGTATTGGAAGATCTGGAAAAATTGGGACCCTTTTCCACTGCTGGTGGTAATGTGAAATGGTGCAGTCACCATTCTAGTGTTCATAGGTTCTAGTGCACGTAACAGCAGCTTACAACTATAGAGAGTTCCTTGGTTCCAGACAGAGTTCTAAGCACTTTACAGAGTACTCCCATTTATAGATGAGGAAATTGAGGCCCATCAAAGGTTAAATAATTTCTTCAAGATCACACAGGGAAGTGACACAGGCAGGTTGAGAACTAGAGAGTCTGAACTATGAACCCAACCCACATATTGTCTACCCTGTACATAAATGACTGCATTTGTATACTGTTTGTTCTTTTTTGGACAAGAGTTATTGTGGTGCAGAATTTTAAAAATATTTATTTGTATTTATTTTGGCTGCACTGGGTTTTAGTTGCAACACGTGGCATCTTCTGGTCTTGGCATGTGAGATCTAGTTCTCCTACCAGGGATCAAACCTGGGCACCCTGCGTTGGGAGTGCTAAGTCTTAGCCACTTGACCCCCAAGGAAGTCCCCTAACTTTTCAAAGTGAATGCCCTCCTGGGAATTCCCCAGTAGTCCAGCAGTTAGGACTTCCCACTTTCACTGCCAAGAGTTCGAGTTCAATCCGTGGTCCCGGAAGTAGGATCCCATAAACCTCAAGGCCAAAACAAAACAAAACAAAGCACACACTCACAAGTTAATACTCTCCAAATGGTCTTGATGATGCAACAAATGTGTATTTCTAATCCTACTTCCTGGTAGTCATCACTTTTTCACTTCCAGGGATTGACAAAAATACTGAGTTCTTCAATTTTAACAGTAACATTGAGAATAAAATTTAATCTTTCAGAATTTATTTTTATTTATTTAATTTTGGCCATGCCTCTAGGTATGCAGGATTTTAGTTCCTTGACCAGAGATCAAACCCAGATCCCCAGCTTCAGGAGCTTGGGGTCTTAACTGCTGGACTGTCAGAGAAATCCCTAATCTTGGAGACTTTCCATAATTGTCCCCCAATCCTATTCATTATAAATGAAAATGGACAAGAAGTGAAAGAAATGTGAAAGAATTGAACCTTTTTCCTTGAATTTCTGGTTCAGTTAGAAATAAGTATGTTGCTTTCTTTTGAAACAGGATGTCTCGGGCTGTTCACCTTCCAGTCCCCTGTCCTGTTCAGCTTGGTTCGTTAAGAAATGACTCCTTGGAAGCACAGCTTCATGAGTATGTCAAACAGGGGAATTATGTGAAAGTGAAGAAGATTCTTAAGAAAGGTAGGCATCATATTAAAATAGCACATGCAACTTGATTCACATTTCTGAATAGCATTGGAAGGAAAAGCAGGTACATCATAAGACTATGAATTCTTGGGGGAATTGGAAGTTAAATTTAGAGATGAGATGTTCTCTATCAGTGCAGTCAGATTGTTCAACAGAGGTCGTAAATCGCTGGAGGCTGTTATATTATGTTTTGTTTTGTGCTAAGGAACCATGAAGTCTTCCGTTCTTTAGGCCCCTAAGGGTTTTGCCTAGGCCGCAGCCATCCTCTTTAGGTTCTGCCTGTTTCTCTTTTCTCCTTCAAATCTACCCCATCTACTGAGTCTTCTGAGGGCTGTGATGGAGTGAGTAGGCCAGTTTTCATGGCTCTCTTCTTCCTTGCTCCTTAGAGGCATTTGATACTTTTGTTTTCAAGGTGTTTTGGTTTGTTTTGTTTTATAATTGGTGTATAATGGCTTTACAGTGTTATGTTAGTTTCTGAGGTACCACAGTGTGAATCAGCTATAAGTAAACATATATTCCTTTCCTCTTGAGCCTCCTTCCCACCCCCACCCCTATCCTACGCCTCCAGGTCATCACAGAGCACGGAGCTCTCTGTGTTGTGGAGCTGTCCTCCCACCAGGTATTTTACGCATGGTAGTGTGTATGTGTCAGTGCTGCTCAGTTCGTTCCACCCTCTTTCCCTTGGTTTGTCCAAAAGTTTGTTCTCTACTTCTGCATCTGTACTCCTGCCAGCAAATAGGTTCATCTGTACCATTTTTCTAGATTCCATATATATATATATATGTTTGATTTTTTTCTTTCTGACTTACATCACTCTGTATGACAGACTCTAAGTCCATCCACGTCACTACAAATGACCCAATTATTTTCAAGGTGTTTTGTTTTTGTTTTGCTGTTGGGCAGACAAAAACAACAAACATAGCTCAGGCAATCTTCAAAAGAACAAACACACAGAAAATCATACTCAAACGAAAAGTCTGTTGGTATTTGCTCGTGATCTAGAGATCCAGACCTGCTTTTTCAAGAGTAACCAGAAGTCCTGTTAGATTCCCCCTCTTCTCTCTTCAATCTTAGTATTAAAAAGAAGGCTTAGAAGGTTTCTCTCAGCTGGTTTATGGAGCAGTCAAGGTGACCTAATTTCTCTACAGTGTTTCTCCATTTGACTCAAGAGTATTCCTGACAACTTCCAGAAGGGTAGCACCCATTTTATAAGGATTCAACTATCCCCAAAATACTTCTCTCAAAAAGTTTTCAAGTGTTTCCATGTACCACCCCTAGAATCTGTAGATAAAGTGGCTGATGGTGAACTAAATTTATTTAAAAGGTTCTGTTTTTTACCCCCTCCAAAATTTTGCATTTTACTTCACGACAGATCTGTGTGTGTTTTAATATGAAAATTGATGTTCAAGGTGGGTATGCTACAACTTCTAGTGTTTGTCTATCCATATCCTCCAACATGAAAAGCAGAGTGCTGTGACATTTTTTATCTG